AGCCAACTGCTGCCATCACTGAGTCAATTAATCTCATCTGAGATGAGGGTGGGCGTGAGGGGAGGGTTCCTCTCTCAAAGGTAAATTCAAATTCAAACTCAATGTTGTCAAGTTGGTTCCAACTTAGAGCCATCCTTCATTGGGTTTCTGAGCCTGAAATAAAGAGGACGGTTTCTCTGTCTCCCGGAGCGGACAGTAGATTTGAACTGCCAGAGAGACATGCAGCCTTTTGATCAGCTGTGCAGCACTCTACAGATGAGGCCACCAGAGCCTTAAAGCCCAATCTGACTCCAAGTGGGTTCTGACTCCTGGCAATCTTCCATGGGATTTTCGAGACTGGAAACCTCTAGGGAGCTCTGGTGGCCTAGTGGCAAGAAGCTGCTCTGCAGGAGAAGGATGGCCAATCTTCTCTCATGCGATTATCTGTTCCTGAAAATCCACCAGGGGGGTCAGCTACAGATAGGTTCTGATTCAATGGTACACAACAACAATAAACCTTTATGTGACAGTACTGCCCATATACTACTACACCACTGGGACCTGAACTGCTTTCTGTTCTGATTCATGTATATGTGGTTCAAAAGAAGGGCTCATTAAGTACACAGAGGAGGGAGGGATAGAAGGCCAGTGTAGTTTGAATTTGAACCACAGTCATAGCCTACTGGATCTGCCTTTGAAACAACTGTCTCATGAAGCAAAGAGGTTCCCTCAAAACCTCAATGCTAGATCTAGTTCCAAATCGAAGCAAAGACAGCAAACCAAATCACACTGTGAACAGGAAAGTACTACTGTTACCCACGTGCTCTGGTCCAAAATGAGTGACTAGAAATGTGTAGAAGGAAGACTTTTGAAGACCTGGGATTTTCTGATGTGAATCTGGGCTTGTGATTCTTCAGATGAGGAAGGGCAAATGGGACAGACACTAGCCCTGCTTACCTGAGAATCAATGTTCAACTCACACTGATTTCACATGGGTTTCAGTCCTTTCTTCCCTGTGACTTTGGTTTTCTTATCACAGAATGGAAATAGTCTCTTCTTGGCACGTCACTTGGCACATCAATTCAACACACGGTCACCTGAATTGGAACTGACTCATAACTGACCCTCCAGTGGGTTTTCAGAGGCCCACCCATCTTTCTCCCATGGAGGGGCTGGCAGTTTCAGCCACCTTCCCAATGGCTGGCAACACTTCTTACCCACTAGACCATCCTAGTTGTGGTGGCATTCACGTTACTGTTATGCACCATCAAGTCAGAACCAAATCAGAGCTGACCCTCCAGCAGGTTTTCAGAGGGAGTAAATCACACAGGAGGAGAATGCCCATCTTTCTCTTGCAGAGAAGCTGGTGAATTTGAACTGCGTTCGTTTGGGTTGGCAGCACAACTCCTTATCAAGAAGCCAACCAGGGATAACTAAATTAATTCATCTAACAAAACTAATCACTTTAATTGATTTTAATGTAATTCTAGCCTAGTAGGAATTAGTTAATGCACTGCATGCTTTTTAACAATCAACTCTGCTACACTCATGTTACTTCCTGTATCAGAACCAATGCACAAAAAATTGCCTGACATTGCCTGACCAAAAGGAAAATAAAATCAAGTTCAAAAAAATCACACAAAGATTCATTACTAGTAATTAGTCAGCAGAGATAACAATTCCATAGGCAATAAACTCCTAATGGTATAATCTGACATCAGATTCTTCTGGCCTTCAAACAAAAGTGAACTTTTTATTTTTTCACCAAAAATTCAACATTCCAAAAAGGTATGTGAAACAAGTTAAACTACTTGCATATTTCCACTTACATAACATTTATATAGCACATCAGCTTTTATTTTTTCCAGATACAAGGAGATGACGCTTGGAATATATTCCTGTGGGAGAATAAACAGAAAGCTATGTCTCTCTTCTTAATATATTAGTGCCCTATAATCCAGACCATATGATCAATAAACTATATAAAAATTAAATCATACTGACAGGCTCAAGCAAAAAGTGGACCAAGTAGAAACAGTTTGGGTTTGTATTAAAAAGGAAAAAAAAAAAGACTGGTGTGTAGAATATTAAAATCACATGTTGTGTTATTAATTTTTCTTTTAGAAGCCAACATTGAGTTCTCTGGCTTAAATTTCTCAACTAAATATTTACCTTTTCAAACAGCTTTTCCTATTAAAGGTGTTAGAAAGGCATTTAATTAGTTATATTGTACTTTGAGCTTTACTTAGGAGAGTCACTGATCAGTAAGTCATTTTGAAAAATTAATGTTTTTGACACTGTTTTAAAATGAGGATATAAATACCTCATGGAGCTCTGGTGGCCTAGTCCCAGGGGAGTTGGCACTGCTAACCCAAAGGTGATGTCTCTGGCAGTTCGAATCCACCAGCAGCTCCAAGGGAGAAAGGTGGGCAATCAATTTCCTTACATGCAACTCGCAGCTTCTAAAGGTGCTGGAAGGTCAGCTATGAGTCAGTTCTGATTCCACTGCCATGAGTTTTATATACCTGTGGTAGCTGTGTACCTCTCCAGAGGTACAATCCAATAGGATTGTACTGGACTGTTAACTAACAGCTCAGCGGTTCAAATCCACCAGCCCTTGGTAAAAATTGACAGCCTTGGAAGGAAGCTTGTATGGAGCAGTTCTTTGTTCTATACAGGCGTTATGAATGAATGGGTTTGGATTGTTTATTTTGTTTTGGTTTTGGTTGATAAGCTAGGTTTGTTTATATTAGCTTTTTAAGGAGAGGAGGACACTTGGGACAGATAAGAACTGAAAGCAGGAAAGCGCAGCTTACTCTTGATTTTCATACACAACAGGGTTGCTTGGGTTTCCAAATTCCCAGCTAACCTATGGCTCATAGATGTGTCTTCTCTGCAAATCCCTTCACACTTTTTTTACCCTTTTATAAAAACAGACTATCCCTTGAGATTGTTTTCCAAATTTAAAAAAAGTGGATGACAGGAAGAGGACAACAAAGGCTCTCCTAATCTTCGAGTAGGAGTGAGCATTCTCAGCACAGGTGCACAATTTCCCTGAGCTGCAGAAAGAACTGGGCTACCACCAAGCAAACAGGGGTAAACGCTGCCAAGCCCCAGACAAGTTTTACACCAAACACCTTCCATTTACGTGTGGTTATCTAGCACTCTGCTGGAGCTCTGGTGGCCTAGTGGTAAGAATTTGCAGTGCAATCCCAAAGGCAAGCAGTTCAAATCTACCAGCTGCTCTGAGGGAACCTATGCAATCTCCCATGTGATTTACTGTCTCTGACCCACTGGTGGGTCAGCTCTACATCAGTTCTGACTGGAAGGCATATCAGTACTCTCCAATGACCAGGAAAGGGTCTTTTAGAAAACATAACAAAATCCATCATAGTGTCATTCTATGTACTACTCTGCCCCATGGTATAGATGAATGATAATAAATCTGGCTCTTACAGTAAGGCAGGCCTCCCAGTGACAATTCCTTTTACACAGCATCATAACCATTAAGGGAGGTGGGAAGGGGGAAAAGCTACTTCAAAAGTAACGCCGTTTCTTCTCTTCCACACAGTACAATTTCACCCTCGGCCTCTTTCCTTATGTTAAAGTGGGAGGTTTGTTTCTAAGAGTTCCATCTCTTTTTCAGCAAATAGGCAATCAAGCCAAGAATTAACATGAGTAAGGGTCTCTGCTACAGAAAGCCTCAAAGGACAAGGTAAGCCTAATTCCTGCACAAGAAGCCCCCAGTTTATGGAATCTGCTCGGACAAATCCATTTCAAAGGGTCCTTAGGTCTCTGTGCAGGAGTTCTATTTTAAGGGAACTGAACGGGGAACACAGATGTTTCTTCAGTTAGCAAAGTTGGCAGAACAGCTCCTGGATCAAATCCGAGTTCTTAACACAGGAAGGGGGCCCCCAAGAGTATCTAGTTTAACCCACTCATTCAACAGATGAGAAAACTGAGGCCTATACGGTTGGCACACCCAGCAAGTGGCAGAGTGGCACTCTTCTGATGACAAGTCCTGTCCGCTTTCCATTACACCTGGATTCACTTAAAAAAAAAAAAAATTCTAGCTGACTTCAACCTTGGACCTACTGCAGATTCATGTCAATAGCTCCCCTCTCCTACACCGAGTTAATAAATTCTCCTCCCTCTCCCACTCCCATTCCTTTGACTCCCACCCTTCCGCGAGCTGAGGCTTCCAAATAGTTTGGAAAACAAAAATGGACTCAGACTGCAACTTTCTGGGACTGCAATTAATTTTTATTCTAGAGCATGACTAAGGCTTGGCGGCCCAATGCCTCAGTTTCCTCATCGGTCAAACTGGACTCCTCTCTCTTACTACATACACTGAGTTGGGTTAGGGCTGGCTAGAGCAGAGACGCCCGTGACACCTCGGTGCGCCTGGCAAGCAGTAAGCGCTCTAGAGAGGGTTGCTGAATTGGAACCCAGCATCAGGCCAGGAGAGAGCACCTTCCACTTTGCAAGAAGAAAAGCAAAAGAAAAGGCAGCTTGCTAGCCTGCCGGGCAGAGGCAGCACCGGCGGAAGGGGTGGATGTTTACCTACAGCCGAGAGGAGGCAGCTCGGCTCCGGGCAGAAGTCTGCAAGCGGGGAGATGCATTTTTACTGGAACCGATAACAACAAGTTGTATTATCCACTGGCTCTAAATCGTAGCTCAACCAAGTCACTTGCCCTGCTCTGAAAGTGTAAGCCCACACCTTCCCTGCGACTTTGCCGGAACGATAAGAAAGAAGGTTTGCGACTTTCCAACTGGAGAGCACTTTTAAAGAGCCCCTGAACGCATAAGCACGCGCAGGCCGGGGAGTCCGGGAGGGGAGGGTAGGAGGGAGTCCCAGGGCCAAGAGCAGCGAAGGCTCCCCGGGAAGGCGGCGGGGGCCTCCCGGAGCTGACAGTGCGGGTACCCCGCGCGCAGACACCGGGCTGAGCTGAGACAGGCGCCCAGGACAGAGGGACCGAGGGACCGCGGGACCGGGGGACCGTGCACGGGGCCGAGCTCACCCATAAAGAGGCAGAAGAGGTCCAGGAAAATGAGCAGCACCCGCTTGCTGCCGCTCCTCCGCGGGTTGTTGTTAAGCGCGGGGCTGCCGCCGTTCTTGCTCTCGGGAACGATCGCCTTGTCGTACTTGTAGCTCTGCATGGCGCTGGCTGCGGCTCAGACGGCCCGAGACAGCAGCCGCACGCTCTCACACGGCCGGATCAACTTCTGCGCGCGCCGCCGCCGCCGAGGCTGCGCGGGAGGGTGGCGGGTCGGTCGGGCTCCGGGCTCCGCCGCGTCCGAGCGGCAGCGAAGTTCTCCGCGAGGCCGGCGCTGCTCGCGGCTCCGCGGGGCTTCTCCGCGTTCCTCTCGCAGCTCCCGGGTTGCTCAGAAGTCCAAGGAAACGAGAGCCAAGTCGCGAGCAGAGATGGGGCCTCTCGGACGCGCGGGGTTGACGTGCGTCTGTGTGTCCCAGGGAGTGAGTGGGCAGCGCGGGCGCTTCCTCCGCAGCTGGTTCCTTAATGAATGAGAGCTGCTGCGCTCAGCCCTGCACCACGGAGCGCCAGCCCCAAACTCCAACTTTTCCTGTTGCTGCTGCTGCTGCTGTCGCGGCGGCGGCGGCTGCTGTGATCGCTTCGGTTTGTTTTCTCCACTTTTATTTCACGAGGTCCTCTTTTAAAAAAAACAGAGAGAGCGGAGCGAGGCACCTCCTTCTTTGGCTCTGATGGGATTCCGAAAGCACAGCCCCTTCCTTAAGCTGCCTAAGACGTAGGATAATTAAGGCCATATTTTCCCCCACCCCCTTTAAGGAAAAAAAAAAATCGTAAAAGGAAAAGTTAGCCTTCAACCAGAAGATCCGAGAGCCCCTAGCGTTCAGAAACGCCAAATTGTCACAGAAAGGGGGCGGAGGGGGAAATCACCAACACAAAACACAACTTTTTTTTTTCCCCCCTGACCTTGGGTCAGGCAAAAATTGAGGCTTTTACAGCTACAATGAAATCTCTCCCACTAGGAACGCTGGGCGTTCACTTTTTTTTATTTTAATGCTGCTTCTCTTGAATTGCATTATCCTGAAAATATTCAAGGGGTTTTTTGGTTTGGTAGTTTTGTTTTTGTAGATGTTAAGATTTAACACCCATAGAGGACTCGGCTACATTCAAAAGTTGAGATTCAGATTGCAAACTCGTGTCGGACTCCCTAGATTTCAGTTCTGACTGTGGCTCTGAGCCTCTGTGCCTGGGTTTTCCCTGGAGACAGCACTTTCTATCAGATAAGTAAGTGAAGATTTAATGAGTCAATTTATGTTAAGTGCTTAGAACCGTGCCTGATGCTTAAAATCAGTTGTTTCTCAGTCCATTCTGACTCATTGACAACTCTATTTGCATCAGTGTAGATGTGTTCTACATAGGATTTTCATTGGCTGGGTTTTTGGAAGTGGATCCTCAAGGCCTGTCTTCCAAGGCCTTTCTCCCAAAGCCCTTCTGGCCAGATTTAACCCTCCAGTCTTCCATCTAGCAGCCTGATCTGCTAATTGTTTACACCAGTCGAGGGACTTAATGCTTAGGACATGCTGTACCTTCATTAAGCATGTTGAGTTCCATGGGGGCAGCAGAAATTTCTGAGAGTATGGCCCCTTTGGTTTGAGAGTAAGTGTAATGTTTTGCCTTAAAACAAGCAAACAATAACAATAAGAACAAAAAAATCCAGAACTGCCTTCCAAGTAGATTCCGATTCATATCGACCCTCCATTATTAGTCTTCTGAGGCTGTAACTATTCTCAGGGGGAGACTGCTTAACTTACTTCTTGTGGAGCTGCTGGTGGGTTTACCTTAAGAGTCTGTCCTTTTATTTTAAATTGTTTTATACGAGTTAGTCTTGTTTGGGAATAGAAGATAAACACTTTGAGAGTGCCTGGCACAGATTTGAGCACACAGTGAACAATAGATGGGCAGGTTTTTCAGATATAACTTTTTGTGGGTGAAGAAATAGAACTAACCTTCTATCCAACCACCATCAACCATGTGCCCTTTCTTGACTAGTTCTTTCCCACCTCACACTCTTGCTCTGCAGCTCCCTCTGCCGGTAAAGCACATCTATTGCTTCTAGAGCTCTCAGAGGACTCTAGCCCCTTAGGCCCTTTCTTGGCCGGCTAGACAGAAAGCTCTGATGGCCTTATTAGGTAAAGAGTTGTGCTACCAACCGAAAGGCACGTTGTTCAAATCCACCAACTGTTCAGCAGGGAAAAGATGGACAGACAAGCACGATTCCATGTGATTTACAGCCTGTGAAAACCTGCTGGAGGGTTAGCTGTGAGTCGGTTCCGAATGGATGGCACGATGACATGTAACAACAACAGCAGCCTAGTCCTTTGGAAGCTGTGTTGCTAACTCCAATGAGGCATCACCTCTCTGGCAGTTCAAATCCACAAGAAGCTCCTTGGAAGAAAGATGAGCAATCTCCAACCAAGCTTTACAGCTTCTGAAAAAGCACTGGAGGATCACCTAGAAGGCGGACTCAATAGCTGTGAGGTCTGCTGTGGAGACAGATCATCATCTGATCCACAGATTCTTTTCCTTGTGCTTGGTACTTGGACTTAACACAAAACTGAGGCTGGTTAATATCATATGGGACTGGCAAAGGACACAAGAGTAACAACTCCCAAAGGCCGTTTTAGAGTTAATGCCTCCAGCTGCCACTCTGACCCAGCAACCTCAACTCAGACTGCAGGAAAGGGCCAGAGGCCCTGAGAGAGTAGGTTCTTAGATAGCTTTTCAGCCACACAAACATCTTTTCTAGAAATATTGAAAGAGCAAAAATAAAGAAGACCAGTTTCCCTGGAATTCACTTCCTACAATGAATGAATTCAGGGATTCCAAGATTTTAACTTTTCCTACCTACCTTCATTGTAATGATAATAATCCCTGCAATCTGTCACTATATCTTATCTTTTGGAATTTTAATAGAAGGGAGAAGTCCATTCCTCACACCCTACTCTGATCTTTTTTTCTCTTTTGAGTTCCCCAAGTCCTGTAGCACCACCTGACACTCTCATGGTCAACTCTATACCTCCCTGTTTCATTATTTTACTTTTCACATTTGTCATCAACAATTGCTTAGCTCCCTGAGGGCAGAGATAAGAAAGACAGTGAAATCCAATGTGGAAAACAATGGAGTAATGTGTTGAGCTGCTAACCAACATGTTGGCAGTTTGAATCCAGCAGTTGCTCTGTGAGAGAAAGTTGGACAATCTCCGCTCATAAAGATTTCTAGCCTCAGAAACCTATGAAGAGTCACCATTTGGGATTGGAATCAATCCATGGCAGTTGTGTTAGTTTCTTCGGGTAAGTGAATTTTCAGGAGTCCTGGTGACATGGAAGGCTAAATACCTGGGTGCTAGCTGAATAGCGGTTTGAATCCACCAGTCTCATAAGACAGTTTTCCTCCTCATTCAGATTTTCAGTATTAGAAACCTGATGAAGGGTTTCCATGAATCCTAATTGACTTGAATGGTATGGGTGGTAATGTGTGCACCTTGTCAACCTAATAGCCAACGGCTTGGCAATTGAATCCACTAGGTATTCTGTGGGGGAAGGATGGACATTTTCCCTCACATAACAATGTATAAACCTGATAGTAAACTTGGCTAAATAGCAATGATTGGGTAGGAGTTGCTTTTCTGGCTTTTTCTTACTGTGAAATTACTTATATTAGTTCAAGAATAAATATCTTGTTAGAAACTTGACATTTGCCGTAATTATATGGTATTTTAATACAGAAGTCACTGTTGATTGGTCTTTTAAAGATTACTGGATGAGATTGTTAACTTTGACTCCACTAGGTTGAATTCTATTTTACTTTAATACTGTTTACGGTTTTCTATATTAAATTCAACTACTTATTAAAAAGGGTAAAAATTTGTTCCTTTTTTTTTTTTTTAGTTTAAACACACTTTATTTTTAGACAACCTATGACATTTTTTCCC